TATATATATATATATATTAGTTTGACTTGTTATTTGTAATCTATTAAGTTGTAATTTATTATTAAATTTAATCTTTTGAACAATTTTTATTTATTATGTATGTGACTTTTTAATTATATAATAAATGTCATCACTTAAATGAAAAATTGCCCATTAAAGAATTCATTAATTAGTTCAAGATTCTACAGATATTCCTATTAATAAGAAAATATATTTATTTGTTAACAAAAAAAAAAAGATAAAATAAAGGATTGTGCCGTAAAGAAAAGAGAAAAAAAAAATCAAATAACCGATCTACTTCAAATAGCAATAAAATCTGATTAGATTGTTTTAGGAGTTTAATAGGCATGTATTAGTTAAATTCTTACATTACAAATTAATCATAAATTATTTTTAGTATAACTTAAATAATTCTTATAAAAGTTATTAAAAATGATTAATATATTAATTTATAATTAGTTTAAATTGTTAAAAAAATATATTGTGAATGCATATATAATTTATTCTTATTTTAGATGCGATATTTTTGTCAAATCCAACAGCAAAATTTTATTATGATCAGATTTGATAATTCTCAAAATCCATCCGAATCAAGCTTTGCCCTTACTTGGAAGGAGAGGGCACCGTGACGAGGGGCCGTTGACTTTGCCGTAAGAATGTTTTTGGTCCATTTTTGTTTTTTTTTTGCGCCCACAGGAAATGGATCTTTACTTGAAATGAAAGGGCACCCTCACGAGTGTCCATGAGAAATTACGTTATTTCAACCAATCTCTAGGTAATACGTAGTATAATACTTTGTCATTTCAACAGATTTTCACATAACACGTAATAATAATTAAAAAACCTAACTATATGTTATTAATTTAATTTATAAGAGAGAAAATAAATTATAGATTAAAAATATAAAATAAGTTACATTGTCAAATCACATAAATAATCATATTTAATAAGTTTGATAACTTTTACGATAGAATTTAATAATTTATGTATTATTAATGTAAAATTGTTTACATTATTAATCGATTAGAAATCACTATTAGTATGAGTTTTGAGGAGCATTTCGTACATATAAATTTTCATGTCTGAATTATAATTTTTAATGAAATTATATTTAGTTAATCATAAATAATTTTAATAATTTATATAAATGTTATCAAAGAATTAAAGATTTTTATTACATTAAATAAGTAAATAAATGTGACATAACGTTTTAACACATAAAAACTTTATTTTTATCTCATATATGAGAATAATTTTGTGAAAAGCTTATGCAAAAATTATTTCCAAAAATGATGTTTTCTAGAAATGTTATTTTTTAAATTAAATAATAAACCAAATGAGAAAAATTAATATTCCTGAATAATGTTAGATTTTCAGAAAAGTAAAAAAATTTCATGTATCAAATACCCCTTAAAATAATTATTGTAAAATTTAACAAACTTAGTATGTAGTATATATATATATATATATATATATTTTTTTTTTTTATCGACATGAATTACATAGACCACAACATTTGAACACAAAACTAGTATATACTCTTTCAACTCTTGTTAGGTCAACCTAAATAATTTACTTAACATGAATGTGATTTATGATTAATTGATTGTGTAAAATTGTTTTACTGTAAAATCCTTTATAATATTTTATCTCAATTAATCTTTATACAATATGTAATGAAAATACCCCTAAAAGAATGCAACCACGATACTACTATATGTGAGGAAGAAATTGGCAAAGGCATATAACTGTGGATTGTAGAGTAATTTTTGTGGTATAATGCAAGAGAGTGCCATATTGGGAAAATAATCGTATGTGGGAAAGAAGTTCCCTACAAGTTCCCTACACGAAAAATATCGCACCCTCTTTGGAAGTTCATTCAGTCACAGTAAAGGCACATTTTTATTATATGTATGACCTTATTCTCATCTTAATCCTCAAAGTGACACAAAGTGTGTGATCAATGGCAGAGAAAATTTGTGAAGGTGCTGCTGAGTCTCCAACTACCCCAGTTGGAAGACAGGCACCAGAGGGTCAAAGAGTGAAAGCCACGAGGCACCCTCGATGGACAAGACAAGAAACGCTCGTTCTCATAGAGTCCAAGAAAATGGTAGAAAATGGAGAACAAATTTGCAGGTTCAGATCAGCCTCGGGGTTCGTTCAAAGCGACCCCAAATGGGACATGGTGTCAACGTTGTGTCAGCAGCGTGGCGTGAAGAGAGGGGCAGTTCAGTGCAGGAAAAGGTGGGGCAATCTCCTCACTGATTTCAGGAAGATCAAGAAGTGGGAGTCAAGTATAAGGGAAGAGAGTGAGTCCTTTTGGATCATGAGAAATGACGTGAGGAAGGAAAAGAAGCTTCCGGGGTTCTTTGATTCGGTGGTGTATAACGTGTTGGATGGAGGGGTGTGTACCACTGTTGCATTTCCCTTGACACTGGTTAAGATGGTGCCGAAAGTGGAGAATGGTGTGGAGGGAGTGGCTCTGCCTCCGGAGCAGTATAATAAGGAGAATGAGGATGAGGAGGTGGAGGAGGAGGAGGAAGATGAGGCCATTGTTGATAGTGAGAAAATGAGTTGGAGCACTGAGGAGGAACACATGGAGACAAATGTAACTGGGAATATGATTAATGGTTTTTTGAAGACACATGGTTCTAAGGACAAAGGCACACCTGGGAGTCTAAAAAAGATCATGCCCATGCTCACATTTCCTACTCCAGGTAAGAAGTTGCATTATTACATTGGAGTCAAATTGTATGTGTTGTTCAATAAATCTTGTTGACACGTTAATATATACTTGTAAGAAAATATTTTTGAGTAGTTTATATTATTGACTTTCAGTGCAATGGTTAAATAAGCTCGGATTAAATCTGTGATGTCTTTTCTTTTTCATGCTATGCATATCATATACCCTTTTCTTATTGAATGATTATTTTCTTCTTGTTTTAAACTATTTAGCAGATAAACAGCAGCAGCCATCTTGCCAAGGGAACTACGATCCAGGTAAATCAAATCAACTCACTCCTGTCCATAGCATATAGTTGAACATTTTTAAGCTGTTGAAATCGTTCAGTTTGACTTGTGATGCAGTTTTAGTATTTATAGTAAAGTTTGGTCCGCATATTTTTATATCATTCCAATTTGTTTTTTTGTTTATTTTCCCCCTTTTCAAAGAGTTTTTTGTTACCCCAAAAAATAACTGTTTATATGCAACCATTGTTTAAAACTCTCAATAGGATCAACAAATAGCTAACTACCATTCATTAGTATTTCATCTGGCAATCCAATGCTGCATAAATTGTGCATTTGTCAATAAAAAACAATACTAATTCATTACTATGGTTTTCGTCTTTTAATATAGACCAAGGATATTTATCTTTTCGTTGTTACTGAAGTGGATTTTTGGAATATCATTTTAGACAGACGGTGGACACTAATATTTAGAAGAATAATATGTATTTTTTACCAGGAATGTGTTACCAATTGCAAACTGTAAGCTGCATGTGAAAATAGTGCCGTAGTGATTGATATTATACGTCTATTGTCATTCCTTGAACTCACGACTAAGCATATTTTTGTTTAATTGATTGACAAGTGATTCAACTATACATAATCAAACCCGAATAACCTCAAGTTGAATTATACAGAATTGGTGTTTCATCTAGTTGATATGCGTAATAAAATATTTTATTAAATCTTAACACGTATTATTGAAATAAAATTTTAATTCTATTTGGATAATAATATAATAAGCTATACTTAAATTATATCCAATAAAAAATCATCAGACAAATAGGTTAGAGATTTGAGTTGTCCAATCTTCATCAAACCATTCAAATTCATTTATTGCATGAATGCATGAAAATCCCTACTACAGTGAATTCTGCTCCACCATTATTGGCCTTGTTTTTGCAATCTCAATGAAAGTATCTTGGTTCAGGGCCCCCACCTCCAGGCTATCAGAGAGAACCAATGTTCCAGGAGGGATACAAGAGAAAGCGGTTATCATCGGACAGTAGCGAGGACAGCACAGATTTCAACAACAGTATTGCCAAATTACTAAGAAGGAATAGTGATATACTAAAAGCCCACCTTGGAGCTCAGAACATAAATCACCAATTGGCCAGGGATCAGCAGAAGCAGCAAACTGACATCTTAGTTGCAGCCCTTGGAAAGCTCACAGATGCTCTTACAAAAATTGCTGACAAGCTGTAAATGAATTCACATCACAAGAACCTGAAAGATTCTTAGAGGCTTCAAAGTTCAAACCTCTTATCTGAGTATAAGGATCTGCATATTACTGTTAATTTTGGCTCTAGATTTCATTATTGTCATTTCCCCCCTTTTAATTAGTACATTAGTACTCAGTTTTTTTTACCCCCCACCTTTTTTTTGTGTGAAAACTCTTCATATCATTTTTCATGAACTCAATGTTTATTCTTTCAACTCTAGATGCAGCTTACAAATCCTCTGATCCGTATTCCTAATTCCTACCAAGGTTTAGAAAGAGTCTAGAATTTCAACACCTGCGATCGGGTATGAGGCAACATTTTACCTGAAACCATTTTGGTTTTGTCCATTCTTTTTCGTTTGCAACTTATGCTGGTATTCAACTTACCGGGAGATCAACTCATCAAGCATGTCATCAATTGAATTTTACAAAGCAATTTTCTTAATTTTACATAGCTAATTTTAATTAAAATTGAATTCAAATTAATCCAATTTAAAAAATTTTATGTTAAAAAAGTAAGTTTAAAGTTAATTTAATATGAAATTATCATCTTAATGCAAAATATGGTTCCAGTATCTTATAAGGAGGCTAGTATGAGATTTCTATCAATAATAAAGGCATTATTAAAGAGTACCAAAATGTGTGATACTTAAATTTATCTTCAATATATTAGTTAATTGTGTTACATTCTAGAAACCAGATTGTGCTATTATTATTACAAAAAATGCCATACAGGAACTAACTGCTCTCCCTCAGTTGTAACTTCAATATGTAGGAAGCTCATCCAATGCACTGGTAACCCACCACCCCACTCTATCTCCCCCAAAAACATACCTCAATTCATCAGTATCTTCTAAACTACGAATAAATATACATAATAGAATTACATGCGGAGAATAATTGCATACAAAATCACGAAAAAGAAGGCCTTACAATTTACACTAAGAATTTCCTCTAATTATACAAAGCTTACCTTTTAAGTCCTCATTACATAGGAACGGCCTCAACAAGCTTAGCAAAGTAAAATTGAGTAGTGATTAAGCCTCTCTTCCTTATGGTCCATCCAACCTTTCGCAATGCTCTCTCTACATCTGCCTCGGAGTGAAGATATGCCCTTGTTGCCTTTGAAGGCCCAGGGAACAACTCTCCAACCCTCTTTAGGAGATCATAATAAAATGTCTTTGGGGCAAAACTCAGAATCAATCGGTTGTTGGCCAGTGATGCAAGGTGGGCAATCATCCCATCTGCTTTGCTTTGGGGGTAATGAATCAAAACGTCAAGGCAGACCACAGTGTCATACTTGCCATCCAAGCTCTCCAAATCCTTCACTACAAACTTTGGTATCACAGGCGCAGATCCATTCTCACTTCCCACAAGTTGTTCTTTTGCCTGCACCAAATAGAAAGTCAGTGTTTTACTTCAGGAATGGCACATTACTTGACCTCACTATTGGCTTTCCAATGTGTCGGGGGATGGCTCAGCTATTCATATTACTAATAAGCTCAACTACTCATCAAGTATTTAACCCGTTAATTCCTTTATATGTGTTCTAAATGCTAATCAAACAAGCTAAGCAATGTTGAGCTAAGCTCAAATTTGGTGATTTTGAAAAAAAAAAACCAAAAAATTCAATGCTTGATGAATGTAGTAAATGTTAAAAAAGGGCTTAGTTACATTTTTTGTCGCCCATGTTTTCCAATTTTGTAAATTTTATCATTTAACTTTTGAAATTCCACATTTTATCACTCAAATTTCAACCAATTTGTGTATTTTATAATCTGTCAATTGATCATATGAGGCTGTTAGTTGACCACTAAAATCATCTTTTAACTAAATTATATGACATTGTTAATTGACCACTAACATGATATATTATTATTGACATATCATCACAATGATTTATCGATTATTGACATAACATGTTGTCTACGGATATAACATGCTGATATGACATATAAATAATAAAATGCCATAAATGTCCACAATGTTTCATGTTATTGATAGGAAATGGAGAAGAACAAAAAATGTATGGACAAGATTGCGCCTACACTATTGTCTAAATAGTTAGGAAAGATAAAAATATACATACTTAAATAATATATTTTTAATTAAAATTTAACTATATAAAATACATTTTTAAAATATCAATTTCTTATATAATTTGACATTATCTAATAACTACAAATTGCATCCTCTTTGTTACCTATTTTCTTTCTATCGACACAATTCTTACCCATTTCCCTCGATTCTCCCCCTCACAAATCACAATCAAAGTATAAAAGTTAAGGGGAAAAATTTGCCAAATGAGAAAACATAGTTAAAAAGTGAAATTAAGCTAGAAAAAGAAAGGTAACCTGTTTCTCAGCTTCGGCGACCATAGCGGCGGAGATATCACTGGCGTAAACAACAGCGCCCTCTTTGGCAAGGGGAATAGAGAGCGAACCCGTGCCGCAGCCAGCGTCGCAAACCGTGACACCCTGAAGCGACCCCTCGTCCTTGAGCATCAAGAGCGTGTTCTCCACGGTCTTGGCGTGGCCCACCCTAATGTCGCGCTGAACCCGGTTCACCTCGTCGGTGTCGCCGTAAATCTTCTTCCACCGCTGGAACCCGGAGTTGTTGAAGTACTCCCGCACCACCTCCTTGTCGCCCCCGCCCACCTCCTCCGCCTGCATCTGCCGCCGCCTCTCCGGGTCCGTCAGCGACACCGCCGCCGCCACCGCCGCCACGAACCCCCCGCTCAGCACCGCGATGGTGGTCCCGTCGATGGCGCCGGAGACGTCGGCTGCGGCGGCGGTGGAGAGCGGGGGGATGGCGAATGCGGGCGGGAGCGGGAGCTTGGAGGGTTTGGGAGAGAAGCGAGGGAGAATGTTGGTTTGGTTTGGGTTGGGAACGAAGAGGGAAGACCATAAGGAAGATGAAAAGGCCATTGTGACGTTACCCGGCGGTGCTAGCCTCGAGTGTGAAGAAGCTTAGTGCTTGAAAATTGAAATGTTATCCTGGATAAGATAGCATTCCACTTTCCATGCCTTTCCCTGATTCTCCTGGGTCCTACTTCAACATTCGCCCATTTTTTAAATAAAAATTACAAAATTATTTTTATATTTTCAAATTACTTTCTAAATTAATTATTCATTACCATCTTATTCTTTAAATTAATAACGTCTTTTAAAATATTTAGATTAAAAAATCATATGGTCTTCACTGCAAAAAGTTATCAAATGTAGAAAATGGTGTGCCTAGTGTTCCCATGAGATAAACTCTACATGTATAATGTTAGATGATGTTGAGATGCTTAAAGTTGTCTTTCGAAAAAATTTAATTTGAAGACTTGTGTTGGTAACTTATTCTTGGGCTCAACTATTGGTGATCGAGAGAATGTCAAAGTTTTTGTGATTTTTTTTAAATATTTGTACTACACTATGAAGATAACCACGAGTATTACATATTTTTCTTTAAACGTTGATATGAAAATCTTTTAAAATTCACAAAACTTTATTTTATATTAAAAAGTCTTATAAAATCATGATTTAATACACTTTTTTTTTTAAACTTTCATTCTCATATGTGAATGTGATTTAGTGGTACATATGTATTTATGTAACTTTAAATTCATACTATTATAATAAAAACAAAAAAGTCTAATTTATTTTCATGCACATACATTAAAAAGGTAAGTAAAAATCAAAAAGTCTTTTAAAAAATTGATCTTGTCTTGTTCCATTTTAATTTATCTAATAAACTAAATTTATCTCAATCCAAAGTTTAAATAATTGAAGTTGAACTATATTTTACTTAAGTTAAATTGGTCTAAAAGAGTCAATTAAGTTCATAATTGATCAATAAACAATTATAATTTTAACATTTTTTTTGTTAAAAAAAATATTATTTGTCATCTCCTCCAATTTTATGTATAAATGAAAAAATTGTTCAATGTTGTAAATGGTTAAAAATACTTATAAATACTTTAATTTTTTTCAGGTTAATCGAATAATTATAAATGCTTAAGATTTTTTTTTAGGTCAATAGATATTTTTAGATTTTCGTCCTTATAAATTTATTATAGATTGTTATTTTTCTTTAAGAATTATTATTTTTTTAAAATTCTCTTTCAACGTTAATAATAAAACCAACCAACTATTTTTCTAAAATAAACCAAAGTAAACATGCATTTAATTTTTTTTCTTTAAAAATATATTTTCAAACTCTTATAATTATGATTTAGCAAGGCCCAAACCATCGCTCAGACAGAACTGGGTTGGGCCCGGCCCTTTTAACCAGATGGGTAGACTACACTGAATCCGTTTACCGGCGGTCTTCACCCCATCCACAGTTTCATTCATTTTCTGTTTCTGAGGTCTTTTGTCTGCGTTCGTAACATTCGCTGCGGCACCTCTTTGCTTCAACCTCAACCCTCTTCACCACACTCGAGCTCCTCACTCATCAGGTATGGTCTCATTCCCTAATCCCTATCCTCATTCCGAGATCTGTTGCATGCAGCGTCGTGGTTGCTTTTCAAACGAACCTTCAATTTTATTCTCTCTCTTTTGCTCGATGATTGGGCGAACGATTTGAACTATTCAAGACTCGATGGGAAAGGAGAACCAAGCCTCCGCTATGGAAATCGACGCCCCAAAATCGACGAATTCTGATCAGATCGTTCCCAAATTCTCCATAAACGGTTTGTTTTCTCCTTCGCTCTGCAATGCTGTTCCATTCGTTTTCCTTTGCCATTCCTTTTGCCTACGAAATCACAAATACGGAGTTTAGCAGCGAAACTTTGATGATTGGTGTGATTAATATTTTTGTTTTAATAATTCACCAGTACTGCAGCTCCTGAAATCCGCGCAAATGCAGCACGGTTTGCGCCATGGAGATTACGCTCGCTATAGGTATATGTGCTTCTATAGTTGCTAACATAATGTCAAATAGCATTTTGTTTTATTTCTGTCTGTAGATATATTTTGTTAATTTGTATCCTCAATTCCTCAACAATGATTCATTTGGGAGACACGATGTACTAGTTCAATTACTGAGCAGCTAAAAATGTCTGTTGATGTGTCAGCTTTGCTTTTACTCTAAATGCTGTGAATAACAAATTTCCATTTTAATTTGTGCTTCTTGGTGCTTAAGACCTCGAGTCTTCTAGATGGACTAGCCATTCAATTTATGTGATCGTTGCAACCACTGATTCAAGCTGTTACTTTAGCTAACATGTAGAAATATTATATAGATTGGTAATAGGTGTATTTTTTTTCTTCAACATTTTAGGAGGTATTGCACAGCTCGATTAAGGAGGTTATATAAATCGTTAAAGTTTACCCATGGTCGTGGCAAATATGCAAAAAGAGCCATAACTGAGTCCACCGTCACTGAAGTAAGGTATGCTTTACTTTGTGTTTTTTTCTTTTTTTGATACGAGTTTGGGCACCTTTTTGTAGTTGACTCGGTTTGAAATTGTGTTTAGAAGGCAAGAATATTAAAGAGATTGGTTCCAATTGGTTGTTACTTATTAGGCTTTACTATCTTTGTTGCTATCAATAATTTCTGGGGTTGTTGCTATCTTGAACTACTTTTAGATAGAGAAATGATACTTGTACAACAAATTTTACAACTAAGAGAAAAAGAGACAAGTTTGAAATGTAACAAATGATGTGATGGAGATAGATAGACACAAAATATGATACTGTATAAATTGTTGTATGTATATCACTTCTCTTTTAGATATCTTTATTGGCATTTCTGTAGCTTATATCATGTGCACGTTGTTAACTGCTGAACCTAAATCTGACAGGAGCTGAATTTATTAAGAAACTTATAAAGAAACACCCAAACAACCCCAGTGATTAGCCTAATCACCTGTGACCCTGGCCTTCTCCCCCTCCCTTCCCTGTCATTTCCCATTCTACCCCTTTCCTTTTCTTCCTTATGTGATACACACAGACCCATGAGTGGGCCCATAACAAATCCCTAAAGACTTACATGAAACCATCATTTAGACCTTGATCTGTCTTTATTCCTCCTGCTATTCTCAAAATGTTATTCAAAGACTTGTTGGAGAAAGGAAAATAAATATATCATATTTTCATCTGTCTGGCAACTTTTTTAATTGTACATTTGTCTTACATTGGAAGTGTTTTGGTCTCAAACCAGGTTTCTTCATCTAATTCTCTATACAGCAGAGAGAGCTTGGAGTCATGCCATGGAGAAAAGGCAGCTTCCAAATGGCCCAAATGCACGTCAACGTATATATTTGATTGGTAGGTTGCGGAAAGCAGTAAAATGGGCAACTTTGTTTTCACAACTGTGTGCGATCAAGGCAGATTCTAGAACATCTTTGGAAGCTGAGGTGTGTCTTTTATTACCTTATCTAATTATGGTGAATTTACTGCCATGTTTTATTGCCCCTTCCCTCCGGTGCAGTTTTTATTTTCTTCTTCTTCTTTTACAATCAACCCCCCCACCCCCCCAATGCAGTTTTTTCACAACCCACTGCTTCAGATATCAACCAGCTAGCATTTCAAATGTCTTTTATTTCTCCATCTAATTATGGTTTATTTGTTGCAATATTTTATTTCCCCTCTCTTGGCACATTTTTTTACAATCAACTACTTCATAGAAGATCAATTAGCTAGCATTTCAAATGTCTTTTTCCCCCCATGTAATTATGGTTAATTTACTGCATTTTTTCATTCCCCCTTCCCCGTTGCATTTTTTTTACAATCCTCTGTCTCAGAGAAGATCAACCTGCTAGTGTTTCAAATGTCTATACTTCCTTTTATTTATGGAATCATAAATTTTATTTGCATTTTCTTTTAATATTTTTAACTGTTTGGTTTGATGTAAATAGGTAGTAAAGCTAGAAAATTAGCAACTTTTACATCAACACATGAGAATTAAGAAAGCCAAAATATTCTTTAAGTTCTTGAACAGGGATAAGTTTCAATACACTTCATTCCTCAGTTACATTTATGTCTCCACGTTGTCCTTAAAATTGCATGTTAGCATCTTTTCTTAATTTAATACGATTAGTATAAGTTTCATTTTTTTTACTTAAACAAATTGGGCTTAAATATTAAGGTGATATGTTAAGGATTATTTATAATAATATGATGTTGTAGGTAGAGCATTAGATCTTATAAAACTTAAAACAGTTGAACAAATTATGCAAAGATATTATTGTAGCGTATAAATAACTTATAGTAATGTTAAAATGTATTGTACAATTTTGGAATACATAAGAATTTTGATCTCATAGGTTTTACTTGGATAAATTGGTTTCAAATTGGAAACTTCTCCCGCTTATTTCTAGGGATCCTCTAAATTAATGCTAAATTGGAAGTTTCAGAATGAATTTAAAATTAAAAAAAAAGTTTATTGGAAACCATATTGAAATCTACAACAAATTACAGGAAATAAAATATATTTTGTGCATCAAGATATCTGTATTATAGGGGTGTTAGTTCCAATTTAATCTGTAAATCCTTTTCTGTTCTTGTTTCGTAATTACTTTTCAATTTGTTAAAAACTTTTTTGGCTACTTGTGCTTTTTAAAATGTAAATACTTTGGAGGTTTTGGCCTTTGGTTTTTTAATCTACGGTGGATAACTATTTTTCTTTTGTTGATGAAAAATGAACATGCTTTCTCTTTTGTTGTTCACTGAATTTTAGGCTTATGAATCCTATATGAGAGGGAGTTTGTTGTTTGAGCAAGATCAGAATTGGGATGTGGCTTTGAAGCACTTCAAAAGTGCTAGGTAAATTCTCTGCTTCCATGCTTTGTACATATTGCCTTGAAAAGAAGATGAAATTGACGCTCCTTTTGGCAAAAAAGAATAAAAAGGGAACAAGCTTATATTTATTCGGAATGAGATAATTCTGTGAATGATTTGATAATATATCTTTTCTAATGGCAAACACCTGTTTAGTTTGTGTGATCTAGCACACTAGCTTTTTTGGGATGCTTCTGTTTTTCTTGTTCACCCTGCTTGAGTTTCTAACCGTGTTTACTTATTTAATAGGGCTGTATATGAGGAA